AAATGGACAGCCAAATAGGACAGTTTTGAAAAGGTGTATTGAAAAATGGACATTTTTGTGAGTCTCCCTATATTTAACCCGCTACCTATTATAAATATTTTTAAAAATAATCAAATTAGAGCATTTATAATTTTTAACTTTTTGAACTATTATATATTGATGATATTCTCTAAAAATATCAATTAAAAATTATTTTAAATGTTGCAAATTAAAATATTTAAGTTTTTATTGTAGTATATAAAATTATACATTTCAAAAAAATAAATGTATGAAATCGAATATAAATATTCAAATTCTGACCCATTGCTCAGTCGGAATTTTTGTTGACTTTTTTTTTTTTGCTCAGTCGGAATTTTTGTTTACTTTATTTTTGTGTAAAAGAAATATATTACTCAACTCTCAATTTTTGATCCGTTTAATTGTTTCCTTTATAGATTGAACAATTTATATGCGTTTTTAAAAATTCAAATCTTGGCATATGCAGAAAAAGAATTACTTTTTTATTATGTAGATGATATGATTATTTATTTTTTTCATATTAATATAATCATATTAAGATGAGAGGTGAAGTTTAATGATTAATAATAAATTAATATGGTAAGTTAGATATCAAATCTTATATGTTCATTTTGATTGTTCATTTACAAAAAATTAATAACAGATTTTCGTTTGATAATTTAATTAAATTAATTAAATGATATAAATTAGTATTTTACTTGTTTATCCTTAATAAATTGAATGAAATTTGTTCTAAAAGAAAATTTTTGTAATGGCATTCTTAAGTAAATTCTTACAAAAAAAGAAGGTTAGTTAAAGATATCTAATAAAATGTACTCCCCAAATAATAGTATAGGATCATGATTATGTAAATGTTATTTTCTATATATACTTGGTCTGAAAAAGATGGTAGACAAAAAAACTAAAATCCAATCCAAATAGTGGTACAAATATTCTGTATTTTGTAAAATAAAATATATCCAATCCAAGACACTGATCGTTTAAATTTTGTAAAAAAACAGTTATAAGGTTTTGATATATTGGTAATTTATTTTATTTTACACAAAGCTATATTTTATCACTTGCCTTGAATCTTTATATATATCAGGAATTTTCGAATCAAATTGAAACAAATAATCTATACAGATACATGAAACCATCAAACTGAAAAATGGAAGAAAAAAATATATCAGTAAATTAAAGCAAAAAGTCGATTTATTAGTATAAAAATGTAATTTGCTTTGACAAAAAAAAGAAGTAATTTGCTTATTTGCAAATTCATCAGTCTCCACAAGTAAAAAAAAAAAAACTAAAAACAATACATTAAGAAAAAAAGATATTCAGCTACACCAAGTATAACGGAATACATGACTACATGCACATGTTAAGTTTATAAATGTACAACCAACTAAACGAACTATATGTATTGTATGCCTACATATACAAACTATATGACGACATGTGGTCAATATCACGAACATCTTATTCTGGTATACTAATCATCGAAATCCGGCTTTGACCATTGTTGACCGGCATTGACCAATAAAATTACAAAATATTCAATTTTTTATTTATTTTAATATTAAAAACAAAAACAAAAAATTATTCTATTGAACCTTTTATGGTATTGTATAATTAAAGAGGAAAACACATTCTATACTCAACTTAAATAAATTTTGTATATATATTTAATAAATTGATTATTATAATTAGTTAGTTTTTTTTCAATTTCAAAACTAAAATAACATTGAAATAAAAATAATTAAGCTAATTACTTATTGGTATATCGGAATAAATGTTCGTAATGTTAACTACATGTCTTCATATAATAGATATATATGGGCATGCAATACATTTAATATGTGTAGTTAGTTTTACATTTTTAAAATTGATATTTGTAGTCATGTATTCCGTTATACAGCTGAGTATCTTTTTTCCATTTAATTGTAACTAATATTAAACGTGGATCATCGCCAAACGCTAAAAGGAACAATCACTCAAGTCTCAAACAATCCAAATACACAAACATGTGACCCAAGTCCAAACAAGCCTTTGCTACCGTACACGTGTCTTATCTTAAAGCGAGAGTTGTTTGACGATCTCGCGTGTGGCTGAAGCAAGGCATTTTCGCGTTTAAGGCGGTCCAGCTTTCTCTGATCGTCAAAGATATTTTTGCTATAAAAAATCATAATTGGAAAAAAAATTAAAATTTCTATTACAATATTACGGAAAGATCGCTTATCTCGATGAGATTTCTCACGGGAGCAAAGGGGACCGCTTGAACGTGGGAAGATGATAACAAAATTAAATAACTATATGGAATAAAATAATTATTTTAGGAGTTTATGAGACAGAAAAAATAAATAATTAAAAGGTTTTAAGATCTAACTATAAGATACCTCCCACACTCCTTCACAATCGAATAATTAAACATTTTGTGAACTTTTTTATGCTATACTTTAGTGGTGGGACATTAGGAGTGAATGAAAATGTAAAGATAGTGGGAGCTATTGTTTAGTAATTTTAAAATTTATGTCATTTGTTTTAAATATTATAGTGTATTCACATGCCAATGATATTTTATGATTGTTTGCAAAGAATGCGTTTAGTTTATGAATTATTATGACTAGTATGTTTTAGATTGAGTTATCGAAGGACACGTAGCATTTTTCTCAGATCTAATAAATTTTATAACTTTAGAATTAGCTGTTTATTACATATTTTTCTAATTTACCTCTACATCAAATGTATTTTTTTCCCTAAATATTTTTTATATTTAATTTAAAAATAATCATTTTAGGCATATAATATTGAAATATATTGTTGATTAATCAGATTTAAGTTTTTGTAAACAAAATTAACTGTTTGATAACCATTTAGTAAAATAGAAATGTTATATGAGTCATTTAGTATAATATTAATAGTGTATTTTCATTTAAGTGTCAGTTAATGAATATTAACATCTTTTAAATGCAAAATGTTTATTTTCTTTTGATTTATTTATATCAAACAGAAAATATTTTTGAAAAACATGTTTTATCTTCTACTATTTTTATTTTTAGAAGGAAAATGTTTTTTCCAACTATAATGCGCTTACCTTAGCTTACCTTAGCTTTTTCCAACTACATGTAGCGAGGCATGTAGGTATCATCTTACATATCATATTTTTTTCTAATAAAAATAAAGCGTCATTACAATTGTGAAACATGATGAAGGATTGTGAATACACATTTACAAATTTGGATAACTCTGATTTGTGTATAATTTAAAATTTTTAAAATATTAAAGAAAGCATACAAAATTTGAGAGAGAATTTTATAAATAATAATTTAGAGTTAAAAATATTCTCTAACCTAAAAAATCTGTCAAGAAAGTGTTTGGATATGAAATAGAGGTGTGTCAGAGATGATTTGACGATAACAAATTATGTTAGAATTTTATGAAGTATTTTTGTTATATCTTTCCCTTTTAGATTTTCAATACAGATATTTGATAATAGTTTCAGTTTATTACTACTATTTTAATATATTGACTAATGTATTTTCTTTATTTGTGTAAAATATTTTAAACAACAGAAAACGGAAAGAGTAGTGTTGAAAAAAAATACACGATATGGATTTCAAATAATTGTTCCCCTCTCGTAAAGATACACAAGTAGTACATATATGCTTTCTTAGTACGATCTGTCGATCTCTATCCGAATTTAAAATGAATGATGTTGATTATAACAAATATTATATTTCTTGTTTCCACTTAAACGAGTTTTTGAGATGTAACAGTTGGTTACTATGCTCAGTTCCCAAAAACATGACCAAACATAATTTTGTCTTTCACGTGATTAATTACTGCTCAAGCCAATGAAATGAATGTCAAATCAGCATTAAAAAAAAACGAATTTCATTTTTTTTTTGGTAAAATAAATTTGGATCATTTCTCGATTTATGCGTGTCATCCTTGCACAGGGACCATGCTAATCTTCTCTGTATCGTTCCAATTTTATCGGATGTCCCCGAAGGGACTAATGGGTATTCGAACAAAATATCATAAAGTCTTGATTTTTTACCAATGGGAATGGATGACAACTAAATCTAGTAACCATGATGAATTATCCTACAAGAATTTCTAAGGTATGTTTAAAAGTAAGTATTACACATAGCGTTGTGTAAGTCTTTGGTACTCCATCAAATATTCTAAAGAAGGCAATAACTTGCTAATCACAAAAATAATTTTTCAAATTACGATAATTAGAGAACTAGAATTTGATTTTTATGAGGTCATATGGATTTTATGTGCTAATGATTTATGAGATTTTTTTGAAATTTTTAAAAATAATTACACGTTCATAATTTTTTTAAAAATAAAATTATGTGAAAATGTATTATGTAAACGCCAACAATAAAACAATTTTTTTTCTTGAAAACAAAACAACTAACGCTCTTATAAACCAAATATTTCTTATAAAAACGTTTTGTAAATGGTGTACTAGCAGATGTTTTTCTTTATCTTCATCTTTATATTCTAAAATTAATGAATAAAATTTTTTTTTATAATGAATAAATTTTTCTCTACACTAATCTATTATATCCGTTACACTATAGATATATTAAATTATATCAAGCGATTCGAACCAAAATACTTTTAAATATAATCAACCATATCAACAATTTTTATCAACTAGCCATAACTAAGCAAACCAATTAAAAAGAAAAAGTCTTAAACCGAACCTAGCTAATCCAGTCATACTCTCAAACTAAAATCCCTAGAAATAAATCATAATATATCCTTTCTATTTTTAACCAAAACCAAATCAAATTTATAAAGAGAAATAAAAAATATCATAGCATTATAAGTCACCCAAAAACCTAAAAAAAATCTCATTTTCCGCTTGATATTTAATTTCAATACTAAAACTAAACTAAAATAATAATTTGAATTAAAAAAATAAAATAAAAATTATCATAAGGTTACATAACATGGCCCTATAAATGAAACAAGGGACCTCTCCAATGGCCCCTTCTCTCGTCCTTCTTCTTCTTCTGTCTAACAACAATACACTACCACACACTTTCACGCTCTCTTCTCTCACCAAATTCTTCTTCCTCACCAAATTCTTCTTTCTCTCTATGTTCTTCATCTTCTAACTCTCTCTTCTCTTCTCGCCATAGCTTCTCCTTCCTTCTCACGCTGTACAGTTAAAGCTTAAGGTATGAAGCCTCACATCTCTCTCTCTCTTCACTTCCATGGATTTTATCAATTTTCTTAGATCGACGAATCTAGATCCTTCAGATCTGTAAATCTCCTTTCGAATTTGGTTTCGTGTTTACTAATTCTCTACGAAATCGACGGATCTGTTCTCGATTCATTGTATAATCGTGTAGATCTTGTTTTGTGCTCAGATCTATTTTCATGTGAACAGGTTTTTTAGTTAATTTTTGAATTCGAAAGAAAAAGATGAATCACTTTGCGGTTCAACCAAACGCTTTCGCTGCCGGCGGAGATTTGAGAAGCAGCTCCGTTTCTGTTGTTGAAAGAGATCAAACCACCGTCGTTTGTCCAAAACCACGTCGTGTTGGTCTCCGTAATAACCACCATCCTTCTCGATCTCTCCGTTGTTACTTCAGGTTTTGAATTCATTCACTCCACTCGTCAAATATTCTCAATCTCATCAAATTCGTTTTGACTAATTGTGATTTGTTTCAGTCACCAATTGGAGCTATGTGAATCCAAAGCAGAGACTGATATTTTGGATATCATTCTCACCAAGGTTTGTTTTGTTTGTTCTCTCTTGTTAGGTGAAATTTGTTTATCAGAAACTTGGTTACGTTTTTGGTAGCAAGTCGGTTTCTTCTAAAGACTAGTTTATTTTTTTATACAAAAAGAGTAATCGTGTACGATTCTTGATTATAAAAAACATGTGATCTTTGTTTGTGTTTAAGACTTTGTCGATAAACTTTTAGGATTAAGACGTCTTCGATTACAGCACATAGAGTGGGCCAATTCTCTTAACCATTTAAATAAGTATTTGTCCTTTCTTTAAACCATTTAGCCAACTTGATTTAGTCATCAAGAAACTGTATTTATCTATTAGTATATTGATAGAGATTGATGATGTTTTTGTTGTTGTTTATAGGATGGTTATGGTGCAGAACAAGTTCATAAGCAGGTAATAGACTCGCCGTCCCCGTTTTTATGTGGGTCGCCGCCGAGTAGAGTCGCTAACCCAATAACACAGGATGCTCGATTTCGAGATGAGATTGTATCGGTTTCTTCAGTGATTCCGCCTCCGTTGGGTTTACCTCCTTCATCATCTCCTTCTTCCTCTGGGAGGAAAGGAGGATGTGTTGTTAGAGGCAATTTTGGTAACAGCCCAAAGGTTAGGATCGAAGGGTTTGATTGTCTTGACAGGGATAGCAGAAACTGCAGCATCCCTGCCTTGGCTTAGAAACTGAACCCGAACGAACCCTTTTAGGATTTTCATACATACTCTTTTGAGTTAACTCACAAGAACCCAATTAGTGCGTCGTAAATATAAGTGTTAAGGAGATTGAGCTGTGTGGGAATCTTGAGGGGAATGAGTAAAAAGAGATCGATCGATCCGTTGGTGTTTGCGTTTTCGTTTTTTCAAGAGTGTAAATAGGTAACGGAGCAATTTTCTGGGTTAAGTTTTTAAGTATCTAGTGTTCTTGTGGTCATTTTGTAAGTATTAAGGTAAAAATAAAAGAGTTAGGTTTTGGAGGAATATTAAATATTTGGGAAGGTCAGGTTTCTTTGTATGGTTTATTTGTGTAAAGTAAAGAAAGAGATTTGGACCTAATCAGAGTGAGAGAGAGATAGGAAAAAAAAGAAGGGTATTTTGGCTATTTTCATTTAGTTTTTTTTTTTTTGAGAGATGAGGAAAAAAATTTGTACAAAAAGAAATTCAAATGATATTTTACTTTGAAAGCAGCGAATCTGTTGTTTCTGAATTTTTGAGAAAGAGATGATGTAATGAGTAAAAAGCTGTGAACCTGAGAAGTGCCATGTGTTACACAAAGGTTGGAGACTCATTCAAAATATCTGGTTGGTGTAATTATTACTTTTGTATAAAAATCTTCACCTTCCATAAAAAAATCTTCTTTCAATCACCGAATTAAGGAAGCTGGAATATGCTATAAAATTAGGAGTTGAGACTCATTTAATCATTCTATAAGAGTTGTTGTAACTTGTAAAAATAGAAAAGTGACCCAAAAAATAAAAACTTGTGTAAAAAAATCAAGATCTATTGGGTTTTTTTTTTTTCTTCAATGTAACTTGAAAGTCTTAAAAAGTAAAATGAAAATGTGTGAATATATTCGTGATAAGATAAAGTGTTTTTTCTTATAAAAATTAAAAAAAAATGAAAAATAAGGGAAGAGGAAAAGGAGAGGCAGAAATGAGAAGAACATGCGGTCTGAGCGCATCTTCAACGCTTTTGGTTGCAAGAATATCGTCAGATCTGTGAAAGTCTGACACTCTGCTCTACTGCTTTCTCCATCTCTTTTAATTTTTTTCCCTTTATTTTTATTCTTTACAAATTAAGTTTTCTTTATATATAATTATTTATTTATATATATTAGTTTGATTCTTGTATTAGTTCTGAGAAAATAGACAAAAAAAAAATTAAAAGAATTTGAATTCATGTATTAAAGTGAGTCATATAAAAACATGGAGAAAAAAAGAAAATCAAACCATTTTTATATAAAAAATTACAACTATGATAGTTTATTTCACAGGTAATATATTTTTAACATATACTGTATATTTACATATAAAGGTAATCGCCAAAAAAATAAACTGTGGCCTACTTCACCAAATAACTTCTAGAGTTAAAAGTTAGTTTGAATGTGAAATTGTTTCAAGTGTTTTGTATTTTATTTTTGTCATCTTAAATAATCAATAAATAATGTTCAAAAGAAAGAATCATGCAAAAACCTAAAAGAATATTACTCATTTACACAGAAGTAAGAAAAGAGATCTTTCACCCAATCAGAATAATTGCCTCCTACACCTAGAGTTACATTTTTGAACTATTAAAATTAGGTGTTCCTTTCTTAGTGATTGAGGATTTGATACTCTGCATTTTTCTATATGTGGAAGAATGAAGATCCTTCAAAGGAGTCCACGGACCAGAAAATCACTTATGTGATTTGAAGACTGTCACATATTCTCAAAAACCCATTAGAAGCTTTTCACTTCCGCATGACCGCATCTATATCACTACCAATATATATACGTATGTAAAGAAAATTTCCACGATAGTCTCTACTAGTAATAACCTAGGCAGTTGTAATCATTCATTCTTTAAATAATTGTCTTATTAAAAAGAAAAAAAACACGAAGCAATAGGTTCATAAAAAAATATTTCCTCTGTTTCACAATATAAGTCGTTTTGGAAAAAAAATTTTATTTCACAATATAAATCGTTTTCAAGTTCCTATACAAATTATATATTACTTTAATATTTTATAATTATTTATATTATGCAGTTTTTTTTGTAATTAGCTGAACTTTTTAAAAGTAAATCTTTTTAATATGCGTGTTTAAAGTTAAAACGACTTATATTATGAAACGGAGGGAGTAAAACACAAAGCTAGAGGATCGTGGTAGTTTGAAGAAGAGAGTTATTTCTTTATAGATATTTCTACGTGTCTCAAAACAAAATTGATATCTACATAAGAGTATGTGCAGTGGTGAGTTCTCAAAATAGTTTTCAACAATATAAAAAATAAAAATAATAAAAAATAGAAGAAAAAGATAAGAATCGATTCTCAAATAAGAAGTTTCGAGAAGTTCTTGAGAGACTATAATGACACATGTCACAATATTATTGATTGTGAACTAAAATTTAAATAAAAAATAAATTAAATTACATGTATGAAAATAATATAGTAGATGAGAAACTTTGAGACCATCCTCATCGCACAACGTCATTAAAAATGTCTTTAATTAATTTTATTTATTAAATATTAATCTAAAAAAATTAGAACCAATCAAAATATGACACAAAATTTACGAGTGTCTTCAATAAGGGCTTAAGTGTCTTGTTAAAGACATTTTTGTTTCTCATTCTTGATGAGTGTCTTTAATCTAATATAAAAAAATAAAAGAAGACACTCTATTTATCACTAATGGAGGTGCTCTGAGAGGTCTTACCCATTGCACATGCTTTAAATAACTATATTATTATTATATTTTGTAGTTAAAAGTTGACAAAGTAAAAAAAAAAAAAGTTGACAAAGTAAAGATATGCATAACATAAAAACATATCATTATTTTTATAAATAAAGTTTGGGAGACGCGAAAGTATGTGTAGTAAATGGCGGGAAAATGTGGAGCGCCGATAAAACTGACCAAAGAGAAAGGTCACTGGGAAGTAACGGTCGTTAGTAGTTTGGTTTCGAGAATTGTGCACCCATTCTCACATGACATTTGTCTCCCTCTTTCTTCCTACTTCCTCCGATTTCTTATTATTATCATATCTATGCCCTTCAAATTTGTGAACAAACAACCAAAGAATTGTAATAGAGCCAACATAAAAAATAACTGCTTTACAAAAAGTTTAAGAGTACCAAAAAAACTGCAAAATTTATACGAAGTGCAATTTGATTACTAGTAACTTAGTAAGTAGTAACCAAAACTATTATATATATAATTAATTGATCAAATCGTTTAACCTTTGAGATTTTAAATGTGTATATCTAAAATTTTAGATGATCACTATATTATTCTGGGACCAACATTTCTAAACCTGCTAAAACGAGAATTTTTATTAATCAAGAAAATTGTTTTATTCAATTATTTTATTGCCAAATGGAGTATTTGTTTCTCTCTCTTATCTACTCTAATGTCTAATCATTCTGTAATCGCTTATGAGAATTTTATCGTTAAATCACTTTTACTGTTTTATGCCACTAATCGGATCCCATGGATTCTTCACTAGGAGACTATGTAAAATGTAAAAGAGTTGGCAAAATGTTTATGACTCATTGAATCATATGGGCCTAAAATCTACGTGGGCCATCAGGTAAGATTCTAAATTATCAATTACTTGGTAGATCTATCCGTCGCCCATTTAAGATTGGTACCGTTATAGGCCATTGAAAAACGTGTTGGTGTTACAAAAACAAATACTGAGGCATTATTAATGGTTTCACATGATATCCTCGAACCACGATGATACTGTTCGCATCAGCTATACACAAGTTTTAGTTTCCTTTTTACTCCAATGTGATATTCTTTAATTTTCTATTATACGCTCTAGATAGAGATGATCTTTATTTGCTTTAAAGTTTGGATAATGTTGGAGATGATAAAACTTGTACACGGGGATTATTGTCTAAAATGCTCTTTAAAAAAAAAAACTTACTAAGCCTTTTCTTCCTCAATCGTATAATTCTGTCCAAAAAAATGCTCTAAGTAAATCTGTATGGGCTCTCTCTGCTCCACCAAAGCTAAAACACTTTTGGTGGAAAGTTATTCATAATGCTCTCCCGGTTGCAGATGCTCTAGCCCATAGACACCTTAAGATTTCTCCAGAATGTCTTTTTTGTGGAGAGGCCAGTGAATCTGCTCTACATCTCCTATTCCAATGCCGATTTGCCAGAGAGATATGGGAATTATCGCCTGTTGAAATAGATTCTGGTCAGTTAAATACTAAACTTAATCTATTAGATACTATTCAAATTTTATTGTCTATTCCCGACGCAAAACAGTCAAAGGAGCATCTTTTCCCGTTTGTGGGATGGCGTATATGGAAGACAAGAAATGATTTGCTATATAACAACCGCAAATGGTCTATTCCTGATATCATACATCAAGCACTTATGGATTATCGTATGTGGAAGGAAGCAATTAATGTGCCTCAACATCAATTAAATCATAACCACAACAGACCATCTACTCCAAACACTCTCCAGGAGGTACTCACTCAGATTCCTTCTCTCTATTGTTGTACAGATGCTTCTTGGATAGACCGTCAAAGCAACGCAGACATTGGATGGACTTTACATGATTCCGCGGGAAGATATATACTTAAAGGATCTGCTTCAATAGATCCCACTGATTCAGCTCTAGAAGCCGAAGCTATTGCTTTGAGAGAAGCTCTCCTACATTTGAAGCGATTAAACTATCACAATGTCACTTTTTGTGGAGACTCTTTTTCTCTATTTGGGCACCTAATGAAAGCTGCTAATTATAGGCATAAACCTCTTCGATGATATCATAACGTTGGCAAAGAACTCATGTAGTTTCAAGTTCATTGGGAGAAAAGCTAATGTTTTAGCAGATGGCTTAGCAAAAACTGCAATGTTACGTAACTTGCCACTAGTTATCTCTTGGGTTTTTTAAATGTATGAAGTGTTTGTTTGTACCTAAACGATGTATTCTCTGTGTTTCTTTTATGTTTAATGGAAATGGTCGACAAAAAAAAAAAAAAAAACTTACTAAAATATCTTTTTTTAATAGTTTACGGATTTTACCCTTTTTTAACACTTAAAAATGTACGTATTTATGATTTTTTTTTGCAAAAATACGTACTTTATACCAAATACTAAACCCTAAGAACAAATGGAACCGACTAAACCCAAACATAACGAGTGAAACGCATGTTAAATCATATTTTTGGAACAAGGACAAAATCTACAAACTATTCAAAAAAGGCAAAATTCACAAATGCCATTATAAAAAAAGGTAAAATCCGTAATTAATTATATACACGGATAAAATATTAAGTCGGCATCCATGACCAATTTGCTGAATATCTAGATATTTAGAAATTTTAATTTACCTGATCCGTGAAAACAATACGTTTTACTTTTTTACTATATGTATGTAGGACTTTAATCTCCCTAATGCATGTTAATTGAAGTGGTGTAAATTTGACTCGGATTCGGGTATGTGTTAACTTTTGAATGCTCCGTATTATTTTAAATTTCCGAACTATGTAGTTTTATTTGTTGTTTAACGATTGACAAATAGTTACAATAAAATTCTAGACATAATTTTAGATTAGTGGATAAAAATCTAAATTGAAGATTAT